CACTGTTAGCAAACACGGCAGGCTGCTCTGTACGGGTGGTCTCTGGGTCGCATTCTGAGAAGCAGTACGCTGCAGGACAGTCCCGACCCCTCGGAATGGCACGAGCGCGTGTTACTTTCTGGCATGTACTCACCTAACCTCATCCATGTCTATTCTCCCATTCACGTCCTAAAACCCAGCATTCAAGGTCAAGCCCAGGATGGCATTAGGCCTGAGTTAGAGGCCTGCTGCTCACTCATTCTCACTTTGCAGATCTAACAAGAGGAGCGCTACGTCCAAGCTGTAATAGGCAAAGTGAGAAAAGTACCATATTACCAATAGCTCAGACTATGCTAATACCTTGCATTCGTGGTTCTCTTATAAAAATGGAAATGCTGAACACTCCTGAGCAGAGGATGAAGGGAAGGAAGCCATACCCCTCGCCCATCAACAGCGTCCAAGTCTAGAAAGTCGCCCTCAATTCACGCGCCCGACTGGTGAGCTTGGCCGGCCTGTGCCCGGCAGCGATCTGAGAGCGGGGACGGTCGCCAAAGTCTGTCCGAGGGGACAGCCTTAGAAAGGTGTGCTTCTTGCCTGGGAGCACAAAGTTTAATAATAGATGTACCACACATGGCTACAATCGTTAAGCCACAGTAACGGCTCCCTAGTGGAACGTAGCTAAGTAGAACTTCTCTTGCCTTGCTTTGGAAGTGTGTCAGGGGAGGTCGGGAAGCCTGGGTGGAGCGCAGAGGTTCTCTCCCTGACACCTGTGGCTCCCAGGTTGCTGGAGAAGCGATGGAAGCGGAGCCCCTCGTGGACAGAGGCCCACACTCCTTGCTATCACAGACTCTTCAGGATACTAGAGAGAAAACATATTTAGGCAAAAACCATTCTCTGCAACATTATAACTTTTGATTCAGGAATGAGACAGGGAAATGCAAATTACATCTCTCAGAGAATGTAAATGAATTTTAAGAAGCAAATGAGGTGTTTCTCAGGGTAAGATGTCTCATCCGGTTTAATTAAGAGCCCCAGGATTTCTATCCAGTGAGCATTCATCCCATCAGCTTTCCTTTCTCTGTAATAGAAACACAGTCAGTGAGAAATCCCCTCAAGACGGGGAATAGAGAGCTCCCAAATATAAGCATCTTTCCAAGAATTTGGAGGTAGAAAAAGGAGTTGTACGTCTGAAGGTCGGAAACATGTATGGGGGATAAAAATTAATATTCCGCCTGTGATAATATCTTTAGTGGGTAGTGCTTCATTCAGAATCAGATGTGTCTCCCTTCCAGATAGGAGCCAGCATTTCACGGGGTAACGATAAAGTATATTCAAGCTGGTCCAAACTTAGGGTCCACACGACGGCCAGCTCCGTTCCCAGAGAAAGCTGCCCTTTCACCTGCTATCCTCCCATCCGTCCCTCGTTTTACCTGGGGTCTGAGTTGCATCTCTTGGTCGGGCCTGGTAATTAGGATGAGATGAGGTCACGGTGAAGCCAGGGATGGGTGGCAGCTTCTGAGGACGGCCCGCGTGGGCGGGAACCGCTCTGTAGGGTGAACACAGTGCGGTCAATTTCCCGAGGCTGAGTGGACACCCCCTGCCTGGTCTTCACGCGCCTTCATGGACCTTGAGAGAGGCCTGTTGTAAGCTGAGGAAGAGACATGGAGCAGTGCGAAAATCAGCTTTCTGGAGCGACCCCCGATTTCCCCGGCACACGTGAGAACCACCTGCACATGGAAACCCGGCCCTGCCGCGGGCTGACTTCCCAGCTCCTGGCTGGGCAGCGACCTTGTCCCTGCTCACCCGGCCGTTGCCTATTGACCTCTGTCCCTGCACCCCTAGTCAACTGGGGAACAGTGTGCAGGAGACCACTTTCATAGGACCTCCAAATTCTAGGAAGGAGAGGAGGGGTGCCGAGCAGGCAGTGAAGAAGGTTGGACGCCTTATATCATTTCTCTATGTCTGTACTCTTGCCACCATTACTGCGCTCTTACTTTGTGCCATCTTATCAAATCCTCACAACCATTATGTGAGGAAGATATAATCATTACCATTTGCAGGTTCCTTCATACCAGTGGTTCTCAAACCTTTGCTAACATCAGATTCACCTGAAGGGCTCGTGACACACAGAACGCAGGGTTTCTGATTCAGCAGATCGGAAACAGGGCCCGAGAACGTGCATTTCCAACCAGTTCCCAGGTGGTACTGCTGCTGCAGGTCCGGGGCCCGCACGGTGAGACGCAGAGGTGCCCACAGTCTGTGGGGACACAGACAGTGGCCGGCCACCTGATCTGTGAGAAGTGCCGTGGCAGCGGGGCCGTGGCAGGGCCTCGGAAGGCCTGGGAGAGATGCAGGGCTCCTGTTCACGCAACTTCTGGGCAGGGGCGTGGGTCTCGTCACGTGACAGTTGAGGTAAACGGCACCCCCTCCTCCCATCCCTATTTTTGGAGCAAAACTACTCCAGGTGTATCAGCGTGGGTTACATCCCCACGTGTAATTTGTACAGGAAAGTTTGATATAAAATACTAGTAACTCTTTACAGGAGATTAGCTACGAAGAAGGAATAAAGCAGCTCTGAAACCATCCCAAGGCTGACTGAGTCAGATGACTGCAAGGGGGCCTCCTCGCCACCCCGAGCCTAGAATTCCAGCTTTCTTTGGAGCGGGTGAGGCTGAAGCCTGCTGGACGGTGAGAAGCTGACTGGGATGCTCTGGGCCACAGCTGGTCCACAGGTGGCAGACTGTGGTTGGAGAGCGAGGAAACGCAGATGGGGACTGGCAAGCTGTGAGCTCCCCCCTGGGTTAGCAGGAGACCAAGGAGGGTGGGCTGGGGATCACGGGCCAAGGCTGGCCAGCCCTCCTGGGGAGCCAGCAGGCCGGGGACCCAGGTGGGGACTGGCAACGCCACTTGCTGGAAGGTGAGCACCACGGCGTGTTCAGCTCCCACACCTCTGGCAGCCCTGGGTAAGCAGGAAGGAAGCACAGACCCAGGAGAGGGGCCCCTTCCTTCTGCAATGTCCCGCCAGTGCCCTGTGCAAGCTTAACATCATGCCTGCTGGCGAAGAAGAAATATTTACAGGGCCCCGTTTCGTTATCACAGAGTAAGGCAGTGAAGGGTGCAGTTGGAGCTGAGACTCAAGAGATTGATAACTGCACACGCCAGCGATCCACTTACTTAGACTACAGTGTGAATGGCCTTTTGGAATTGAGAAGGCATGGTGGCCCTGAGGGAGGCATTCACCCCAGTTGGCAAGTGGTTAGCAAAGTCGTCCTTGAAATACTTTCTATTCTGTCTTGGAAAACCCATGGAAATTGGCCAGAGGAAGGAGCGGAAAGGCATAGTGTGAAGGCACAGAAAACAGAGAAGATGATGGACTTTCTAAGGAGCCAATCAGGAGAGAGAACTGCAGACACTGAGGCTTCATCTTCTCAAGAGTGAGTCCCGTTGCAGGGAACACCACCTCCTGGGGCCAAAGTGGACGAGAGAAAGCTGCTGCTTCTTGTCACCCTCACTCCTCTCGACGCCGGCCCTCCCCCGCGGCGATCCCCCCACTGTCCACCCCACTCCGCTCTCCTAGCTCTGCCCCCTTACACTCCCGAGCCCCGTTCCTTCCATCCCTCCCAGGAGTTTTATGAGTCCCCAGCATGTGATCCGGGGGCCTCACTGGAGGTGATTCTTTGCCCCCGCGTCCCTCCTCTCTTGCTTTGACTCATAGTGGGTGAACCTTCTGATGCTGCTGGTGCCACAACCGTGCAGGCCAAAGGCCCTTCCGCCACAGCCAGTGCCCCTGAGGAGGCCTGCTGTCCGGGGCCTGGGCCCCCAAGGTCACTTCTGCCTGAGACGGGTGTGCTAATTCCACGTCAGTGAAGGGAGCCCGAAGCCGCCTGTCCTCCCTGCCCTGGGAGCGGGGACAGAGGAGAGGCTGGTCACCTCTCCCCTCCAACACCAGCTCAGGGACTTGACCAAAACTTAGCCCTTGAGTCCTCCAAGGAGCGGGTTCCCATCCAGGAGCCCCTGAGGTTCATTGCGATAACAGCCCAGGGGTGGCAAATGGGTTTCATCTCATATTTAGCCCCCAGATGTTCGAGAGTAGCTGCCCAGGGCACCTTACTGAGGACTCTCTAGGCAGGTCCAGAACCGGGAGGGAAGAGCGCGGTGATAAATTCCAGCGACCAGTGGAAGCGTCACCCTTGAAACTCGACTTGGGCAGCCCCCTGCCTCTGAGCCGTGTGCCATCTGAACCCCCACGAGCACAGCTGGGACCCCTAATGCTCTTAGTTACCTCGCTTTTCCAACAGGAGATGGAAAGAGAATAAAGCTTGTTTTGACATGAAAACTGATTTTTAAGCCACGTATGAGTTGGAAACACCAGCCATGCAGCCAGCTGGAGGTAGGAGCACCCAGTTCTTCAAAAGAAGCAGCTGTCTTTTCATTGCATGGAGGCATCACGTTTCTGGAAAGCCACCCAGGTATTCTGACCCATCTTCCTCCTAAATTAAGATGGGTTGTTGCAGGAACTCTTAGAGAGCCAGACAGTTCAGGACAGGAAAGCAAATCCCCTAAGTTGGGTCTAGAGGTGGAGGTGGTCCCTGAGGAGAGCGTGTCACTGTCCTGCAGCTGACGCGGGACAAAACGCCAGGAGGAAGGCCGGACGATGGGCATGAACTCCTGAGAACCTGGTTCCCAGAGGCTGGGAGGCACGGAGGGAGGCGCGGCCCTAACTCAGCTCCTCTGTCCTTCAGATCACGTGGGCCAGTCTGGGCACTCACTGGGCTCACTGGGCAACTCCCTCTGAGTCTGGTTGTTCCTTGATCACATTGGGAAAGAACTTGCTCAGATGGCAGGAAGGATGTTGGGAGCCGGTCCACGCAGGCACTCAGCATGGTCTTCACCAAATCGGCTGAGAGGACAGATTCGTCCGACTCGGGCTGGGGGCTGGGGCGGGGGGAGACGAGGCGCTGCCCGTCCTCTTTAGCCCAGGGCCTGACCCCGCTGCTCTCAGCCTCTGGGCGGAGCGCGCATCACCCCGCCGCTTCTGTCCGGCGCCGTCGGCTGGCTCTTTGCTCAGCGCCCGCGGGCAGAGCCGCCTCGGCCGGGGGGCGCGGGGGTGCCGGCTCCGCACCAGGCTCTTCCCGGGGAGGACGGGCCGCGCGCCCCGAGGGGAGGACACGGGCCGGGGCGCGGGAGGCCCGGGGGCCGTGGTCCGGAGGCGCGGAGAGGGCGGCGGGAGGGCGGAGGGCGGAGGGGCTGGGCCGCGTCCCGGCCTCACGCGCGGGGCCCACCTCCTCGCTCCTCTCCGGGCCCCGCCGGCTCTCGGGCGTAGTTTTAGCCGCGGTGTCAGGCACGAAGGCCTCGCCGGGAGTCCTTTCCTCAGGGCCGTGTCCCGGCAGCGGGGAGCAGTACGGCGGCGACCCCGAGAATGGCCGCTTCCGGGGACTGTCCCCAGCGGAGGGCGCTCCCGCCCGGCCCAGAGAGGCGCGCGGCGGCGGGAGCGGGGCGTCCTCCGCGAGCTCGGGTTGGCTGGCTGCGTCCCGCACACAGGCCTGGGCTCCGGCCCTGCCGGGGCAGGTAACCTTGCCCTCGCCCTGACCCCAGCTCCAGAGACTGTGCCGTCCCCGGGCTCCCCTGTCACTCAGATCCCTCAGTCGTCGTGTTGGAAGGTGCCATCTGTTTCCGCTGGGACTCCGCGGGGCCAGGCCCTCTTAGTGTGGACTCTGAAGCCAGACCGTTGGCATCAAAATCATGTCTCCACCCTCCCAGCTGGGACTCTGGGCCCCACCTATCACTTCTCTAAGCCTCACTTTCCCTACCTGTGAAATGGGCACAAAACTTGTCATTGCGTCTCCTCCATCTCCTCTTCCCCCTCCCCCCTCCTCCTTCCTCATCTCCTTCCCCACCTTCCCCTCCTCCTCCACCTGAACTTCCCCCCCCCCCACCCCCGGCCCCTTCCAGCTCCCAGAGGCTCAGTCCACAGCTCTCCATTTGGACAGCTGGCACGTGGTCTCCAGGTAGATGGTGCAGGGAGTTCAGCTTCGGTCAGGCAGCTTTCAGCCCTAAGCCTGGGCCCTGATGAAGTGAATGTTAATCATTAATATAATTTCTTTCCGGAGAATCATAAGATTTTACAGCTGGAAGCGGCCTTAGAGAATCATTATAGCCCACATGTTACACTTGTGGAAACAGAGGGCTGTTGCCGTCCCTAAAGTCACAGGGCTAGTAGGCTAGTAGCTGACTGTGCTGTGGGCCCCACTACCCCGCGCCCTTCCCCCAAACCCAGTCCAAGCTTTTGAGTTTGTAAAAGCATCGCCTAGATGTGTGAGTATAGCCCAGCCCTGCAATATCACTCTGGGTGGATAGACGTCTCCCCCGGTGATCCAAGGAAAACTGTAGAAGGAATAAACCAACCGTAACAATATTAATAATCGTTATTACCCCAGTGCTACCACCACCACTTCTGTTTGTATCCTGCACTTTTTTTAACCTCTTAAGTATTGGCCCTAATGACAAATGAGGAGAAGCCAATTTCAGCAGACAGGATCTCCCCAGGGAGCTCAGAGATGCTCAGGCTTCAGGCAATGGGGTCCGGAGGCAGGGCCTGGGCTGCTGGGAGACCCAGAGCCCCATGGTGATGCTGCAGGTGCCTGGCACAATCTGGAGCCTAATGAAAACCAGAAGTGACCTCGTGGACTTGTCTTTGCCAGTCACTGCCAGAAGACTCTGTCCCCATTAAGTCTTTCAGTCTCTGAGTCCGATACCTGGACTCCCAGCCTCACGTGCCTTGGTGGCAGGGTCCTCAGGTTTGGTGACCTGCCCCCCACCCCACAGCTCTGGGCCCGGACAGAGCTGGGGATGCACAGGCCTGACAAACAGTTCCAAGGGAACGGCCAGCCCTGCTCTGAAGCCTGGGCGGCTGGGAGGCAGAAAGGTCTTTTCTTGAGGCTTTTGGAAGGAAGGAGAAGTTCACGGCCGGGGTGTTAAACAAGGAAGGGCTGAAAGGAGAGAGTCTGCAGCAAACAGCCACACACGCGGGGAAGCGCGGTGACAAGAACGAGAAAGCGAGATGAAGCCGCCGGTGCAGCATCTCTCTGGCCCTGGCCCTGAGCGGGCCCCTCCCACACTCGGCTTTCTGATCAGAGGATCGAGAGGCAGTCCTGGACTCCAGGACATCTTCCGGAAGCTGATAACGAAGATGGCGCTGGAAGCCTAGCGGCTCTGAGGAGGGGGGAGGGCACATGGGGACAGTCATTCATCTCTAAAACTTGCAGGGCACGTCTCCTGGAAACCAGACTCAGGGATGGGCCGGGAGGCCGGAGGAGCAGCCCGCACCCCCAGCCTGGTCCTGGGCCGCCCCTGCACTTCCGGCGGGGGGCGGGGGCGGGCGAGGGGGAGGCGCACAGGCTCCTCCCCCAGAACTCCCCGCCTGGGGCCCCAAGGTCGTGTTGCTGATGGAGCCACGTGTTTCAGTGATGAGTGGGAGGAAGAGCTCCCTTTCCTTGCTGTCCTTGTCTCCTCTCTCCTGTGCTCTGATGACCTTGAAGAGCCTTCTGTTCCTTCTGTCCCAGTTTGGTTTCCATGGGAACCGGAGTGGCAGCGTCATCTCTCCGCTGAGGTGAGATGCCCCCAGGATGCCATGAATACCCAGGAGAAAACTATCAGAGAAGAATAAACCATCTCAGAAATTACCCTGCAGGGCCCTTCCTTATATTCTGCTTCCGTTTTCTCCTGAGTTAGGTCTTTCGCTTTGCGTCCTCCACTTCAGGGAGGCCGTGGGGAACGGGCGTTCTCCTCCATTGCATCTGGATCTTTGGTCCTTAGCAGCTGTCCTGAACCTGGTTGGTGTGATAATTTCTTACTTAGTGAATTCATGGGTGAGGGCCATGATAATATGGAGTAATGTGATGTCCTCTCAGTAAATCCAGATGACCACACGTGGCTCCTTGAGTTCTGTCCTCTCCCCAAATTTGCCATCTGACAAAGTGACTTCATGACAGAGTCATGAACTGCTGTAGATATATTTTATTTGAACTTCTCGAAAAAGCTAGTGGTACATTTAAGAGTGGTCGCTTACAGTCAAGCCGATTGACAGCCCCTGGACTTTCTAGAATGGGCCGTGGGCCGCTCAGCAGGTCCTTGGACAATGGGGCAGATTCGGAATGAGCTGCCTCCTAACTGCGGTTCTTATAGAGCTGTTGAGAGCACGGACTCTGGAGCCAGTCTGCCTGGGTTCAAATCCTGGCTCTGCTGCTTAGGAGCTGAGTGAACCTGGGCAGGGCACTTAGCCTGTCTGAGTCTCAGTGTCCTCATCCATAAAATGGGACAATAATGGATTCTATCTCATAAGTTTGCTGTATTAAAAGAATTAATACACGTAAAGTGCTCAGAACAGTACCTGTGCATAGCAAGTCCTAGACATCTTATTATTATCATTATTATCCTATTTTATTCATTCTGAGATGCATTTCTTCCCCATTTTGACATCTCTGAAATCTGAAGGTGTTTTTTTTTTCTGTCTTCTGGGAACATAAAATATGGTGTGCCTTACAATGGATTGTGTTTCAGATCCAATTAAACTCATTATTATTGTTGTTATTATCCCATCTCTAGCACAGTCTCTGGTCAATAACGGGCACCATATACTTTTGCAAAGACTAAATAAGTTCTCTCTTGGTCTTCTCTTCCTGGAGTCCTAGTAATGAAAGGTTTGCCATTGTGATCATCAGTGTGGGCTCGGCTGAATCAGGCAGACAAACAGCACTGATACTAGAGGCGCAGTCCTTTCCTTTTCTTCTCCTTAGCCATCAGGACAGACATTCTAGCTGGTCCTGCAACGTTGGGGAGGTAGGGGATCTCAACCTGCATCATTCTGAAAACCAGAGGGAGTTTTGTGTCTGTTTTAGACAGAGTTCTCTAGAGAAACAGAACCAATACGATGAGTATTTAGGTTTATTTTAAGGAAGTGGCTCATGAGATTATGGGCTGGCAAGTTCAAAATCTGCAGAGTAGGTTAGCAGGCTGGAGCCCCAGCAAGGAGCCGATGTTCCAGTTCAGGTTTGCTGCAGAATTCCTTCTTGCTTGGGGGTCGTCAGTCTCCTGTTCAGGCCTTCAGCTGATTGGAGAGGCCCACTCACATTATAAGGGGCAATCTGCTTTACTCAGAGTCCACTGGTTTAAATGTTAATTTCATCACAAACACCCTCACAGAAACTTCCAGAATAATGTTTGACCCAATATCTGGGCACCTTGGCCCAACCAAGTTGACGCATAAATTCACCATCGCAGTGACTTATAGGGGAGATTCCTGGTGCGAAGGGTGTGCATTTGTCAAGACCATCTTTGCCTTGGAGAGCCCACCCCTCCCTTGGGAAATCCTGAAGGGCTCGGCTAGACTTTACAGCAGTATCTTCTGTTGTCCCCACCGTAGTCCTGCACCATAGGCCGGAATAACTTCATTTTTCAAATGAAGAGCAAAAAATCTGAGTCTCTATGTCTTATTATTAATAGTAGATAACTCTGGGAAACTAGAAGATGCCTTATTCAAATCCAGGTTTCTCTGACTTTAGCTCTTGCTTGTCAAGGATACTAATAGTTTTTACTGTTGCTATTTCATTATAATATTTAACACTGATGCCTATTCTAAGCACTTTACATAGATTCACTTTCTTAATTAACTCAATTTCCTAACCTGCCCCTAGAATTCCGAAGACAGATGTGACAAACCAGTCATGTGAAGGGGAGAGATGCCCGCAGTGGACATTGTCTGGGCAGGGCTCTTGGCTGCCTGGGGCTAGTCACCGCGCTCTCTCCTGCCAAGCTCCTTCCCTGCTGTTTTCACTGAGCAACAGATTAATGCCTGTGTGCGGTGGACACGCCCACGCCATGGTGTTCTCACCTCGTCAATTCTTAGCACCTTCTAATGGCTTCTGAGATTAGCTCCTATCTCAGTTTGCCACGTTTGATGAGGCCGGAGAACACAGACAAGAACCAGGGATGCTGTCAACACCCCAGGCTCTCCGAGGTCCACCATCCTGCTCTCTTGTTTTGCACTTCTTCTTCATTGCCAGTAGCTCAGCCCTACCATCCTCCTGAGAAATGAGGACCTTGTTAGCAGGACATCCGTCTGTCTCTGAGCATCACTTAAAGGCTGGAGTCCTGATGTGCATAGGGGAGCTATGAGGTTTCCTCCTTACCTTGACTCCTGTATGGGTTCATTTTGGCAGTAAAAATCCCCTTTATCTTTCATGTTAGGTCAGAGGTTGGTGTTGAGGGAGTCAATGAAAGAAAGGAAATGCTACCTTGATGGACAAGCTAGCCGGTAGGTGTTCGGCACATCCAGAGGACATGGGTCATCATTTGGTGTAAGTGAAGAGTGCCACAGAGCCCCTGGACATTCAGTGGGACGAGGAGGACGGAGGTCAGGTTGGGGAAGAAGAGAAAGGGGTGCTAACTTCATCTGGGCAATGAAGGATGAACAGGATTTTAAAGGGGCAAAGGGAAGGGAGAAGGAGGTGATGGGAAAAGCCCGGGAAGAGTGAACATCTCTCGGAGAGGGATTGTCCACTGTGCTGCTCTTCCCACCCTCCCCTTTTCTCTGGGATTGTCTGTTGATGATCCCTTCACTGCTGGGCGTTGTCTGCTTCTCTTTGGTTGATGTTTCCCATCAGCAGTTAAATGCACTAAGTCTGTAGCATCTTAAAACAGCAGCACACAATCAAAACTCTAAAACTGTCTTCCCCCGATCCATTTCTCTCCAGACGCCCACTGCCCTACTTATCACGGTCATCCAGTGGCCCAAGCCCCAAGTGAGGGAGTCAGTCTTTACATCTCTCACCCTACTCTGTCCACTTCTCTCATTCCTTACTAGGTCCTGCCAAGTTTAACTCTTAAATATCACCTGAAGCTGTCCACTCCTTTTTATAGTGAAGGTTAATTTTGTGTGTTCACTTGGCTGGCCACAGAGTATCTAGATCAAGCATTGTTTCTAGGTATGAAATTAACATGTGAATTATTGGACTCTGTAAAGTAGACTGCCCTTCCCAATGTGAGTGGACATCCTCCATTCCATGACGGGCCCGAATAGAGCAAAAGGCAGAGGTGGGGGGAATTTACCCCTTCTTCCTGCCTCACTGCTGAGCTGGGACACCTTGTATCATCCCCTCCTGCTCTGGGGCTGGGATCTAAACCACTGGCTCCCTTGGTTTCCCAAACATTGGACTCAGACTGAATTACACCACCGGCAAATGGCAGATTATGGGACTTGTCAGCTTCCACAATCACATGAACCAATTCCTCATCATACATACCTACATACATACCCACATACATACATACCTGCATTCATACCTACACACTCTCCCGTTGGTTCTGTTTCTCTGGAGAGCCCTGACCAATACAGATGTGGGTACTGACAGTGGTGGTAAAGGAACAGAATGTGAAGGATGGGGTTTCTGGAATTGGTTCTCTAATTTGATTAGATTTAAAAATGCTAGTCACTCTATTTCCAGTAGTAAAGAGAGCACAGATAGGCCATGGCATGAACTGTTTATGGAGGTGTGCAAAATATCTTCACTGGATACTCCTAGTCGATTAAGAAGTAAGGTGACCAAGATACCCCTAGTTGAGGAGGAAGCAGGATGCTGGGCGACCGTGTATATACTTTCGATTTGGAAACCATTTTTGGAAATGCATATAATAACCTTAGGTGGCTGCTCCTGATGTCACTGGACAAAGTGGCAAAAGAAAAGGACGAGCTCAGGGATTGGAATTCCCAGCTCCAGTGCCATAGGACCTGAGAGTATCGGGGTGTGCCCTGATGACACCCTCAGCTCCCGGAGCTGCAGGGCTGAGACGGCTGAAAGTCAAATGCAGATCTCTTCCCGCTGACTTACTACGCAAAGGCTGACTTACTATGCAAGTTGAACTCCCAGCCTCCCAGGGTGTCTGCTGTTAAAGTGCGGGCATTGGTTGGGGAAGGACGGGATCCTGAGCTGGGATGGGGACCCGTGGGAAGATTGTGATGAGGCTGGGGACATTAATCTCCTGAATTCTGATAATGTCATCTTTACCGGTGGGAGAGGACTCGCCACCCCAGAGGCAGTGGCATCCTCACCCCCATCTGAGGGGATTAACCCTGCCTTGCCTGGAGAAACCGTGATGGCCTCCCCTGAGGCAACTGTCTTGCAAGACAATACTGATTCTCTTCCTGCAAACCAACCCCCCATATATACACACACACACAACACACACGGCAGAACCTCCCATGGGTTCTGTTTCTCTGGAGAACCCTGACTGATACACACATCTACTGATTTACTTCTACTCCGCTAGTCCAAGCTACCAGCATCTCCCCCCTGGACAAGCACATCCCTTCCTAAGCAACTTCCCCACATCTGTTCCTGCCCTTCCTCCATCTTATTCTCCACACTGCAGTCAAACTGATCTTTTCAAAGTTACAAATATAATTCTTTGCTCCCCTGTGCAGAACCTGCCAGCAGGCTCTTTTTGCTCTGACCAGATCCCTGCACGTGTCCTGGAGGCCTGGCGGGGCCACTCCCAAGAGCCTCACCAGGCACATCCCACGTGACACTGGGGCTCACACCT